TGAGTGTTAGATTATCTTATCTTATTTTATTTTTTATTTGTTCCAATTAGTTATACATGACAATAGAAGCACTTTGATACATCATACATAGACGGAGTACAATTTCTCATTTTTCTGGTTGTACATGGTGTAGAATCACACCAATTGTATAGTTATATATGCACATAGGGTCCTAATGTCTGATTCATTCTACTACCTTTTCTACCCCAAACCCTCCCCCTCCCCTCACTCCCCTTTACCTAATCTAAAATAACTCCATTCTTCTCTAGACTCCAGCCTTCAGCCTCCTTATTGTGAATTAGCATCTGCATATCAGAGAAAACATTCAGCCTTTGGTTTGGGGATTGGCTTATCTCTCTCTCTCTCTCTCTCTCTCTCTCTCTCTCTCTCTCTCTCTCTCTCTGTGTAGGGGGTAGGGGATGGGTAATATTTTACCTGCTAGTTACATATGTTTGGAGTAAGAAACACTTTTATATCTAGAGCATCATGTTTAGAATTGGAATTCAAAACTTTTTTTTGCAACACAGTTGTCTTTATTCTGAATATGACTTCCAGTTGCTCTCTACCTTTGGCCATATTTAGAAGATTAAATAGTTGGATATTATTATTTCGTAATTCTATTTTCTTTTTTTGGTATTGAGGATTGAACCCAGGGGTACTCAACCCCTGAGCCACATCCCCATCCCTTTTTATTTTATTTTAAAAAAATATTTATTTTTTAGTTGTAGTTGAACATAACATCTATTTTGTTTATTTATTTTTATGTGGTGCTGAGGATTGAACCCAGAGCCTCGCACTCTACTGCTGAGCCACAACCCCAGCCCCTCCCCACTCCTTTTTAATATTTTGTTTAGAGACAGGGTCTCACTGTATCGCTAAGTTTTTGCTGAGGCTGGCTTTGAACTCATGATCCTCATGCTTCAGCCTCCTGAGTCGCTGGGATTACAGGCGTGTGCAATAGCACCTGACTCATAATTCTATTTATTCAAGTGAAACACCTTTTGAATGTATAAGTATTGACCCAGTTTTGCTGATGGCCTAGAGTTCTCCTTCCCCCTATCTACCCCATGGGCTTCCTGACATACCTTCCCACTACCTTCTTATCACCTACCTTGTCTTAGGTCCTTCTCCTCTTAACTGGCTAGTGATACAGTGAACATGAAATTTAATGGCTGAACATGGCCCCAAAAGTTCACCTCTTTAAACTGATTGTGTCTTGGTAGGGGATTTGGAGATACAAAGAACAAGTTGATCTGTGACATTACAGAAGGCCATTATGAAAGACATTTTGGAGACTGTATTAGCTTTCTGTTGTAATAACAAATACCTGATGTAACAACTTATAAAGAGAAAAGGTTATTTTGGCTCACAGTTTTGGAGGTTTCAGTCCATAGTTTTGGGTCTGTGGCAGGGTGCATGGCAGGAGCTGTGGCAGAGCAAAACTGCTCCTCTCATGAGTCAGAGAGCAATGAATGAATGAAGAAGAGGCCTTGGTCACACAAACCCTTCAAGGGCATGCCCCAGTGACCTAAGGATCTTACACTAGACCCCAAATTTTAAAGATTCTACCACTTCCCAGTAGAACCACTGTGGGGTCCAAATATCTAACAAATGGGTCTTTGGAGAACACTTAAGGTCTGAATTATAGCAAGAGCCAATAGTCCACCCAGTATTCTCTTCTGGTGCCCTTAGATCACATTGTCTTAGAAATGCTGTCTTTGCTATTTCTATTTAGAAGTATCTGCATCCTTCAAACAACTCTGTGTCAACTCTTAAGGAGTAAAAACTCAAAAGGGAAACAAAAGGGAAGTAATCATTTTCCTAAAATGAAAACTGTGCTCTAATCTTTTCCTTCATTCTTTCTCAAACACATACACACACACACACACACACACACACACACACATACCACACATAAAACAAAACCCATCATACAAAACAATCCATCACCACAAAAATATCTTAACAAATAACTTCTGTCCTAGCATCACAATGTGGGGAAAATTATAGTTCAAATGTAGAATAATATCTAGACCACTTGCAGCAGAGCACTAGTAAGATGCAAAGAGAAGAAATAACAGAAGCTGCATCTTAGTGTGTGAATGGCTAGGTGAAATAACGTGGGCTCTATTGAATCTGCACATCTAAGCCTAATGGGAAATTAATAACTCAAGCTGTGCACTGTCATCCCCAGGAGTTCATCATGTGAAGGAATGAAGATGTTCAACTGAAAACCTTCACACTCATGCCAGAATATGTTCCCAGCTGTATAAATGCTGGACTCAGCTACTAGTTCTTAGAAATTAGGTAGCTCATTGAAAATTCAGGCTCCAGCCAGATACTATATCCGGGCTCAGATGTTAAAACAGTCTCTCCTGCTCATCAAGCTGTGGCACAGCTGGAGGAATAGTCCTGGCTTCTCACTTAATTCTCAATGAGACCTTCTTTTCCCACTGTTGTGCTGTGGCATTAAAAAATCTAACTCCTCCATATATCTTGTAAGACATCCCTTCATGGGGCAGACGAGAGTAAGAGATTACCTATTTTGGTCTGTAAAATTATATTTAGAGCATTAGATAATAAGTATCCCAGTAAAGTCGGTAGAGGACAGTCAGATTATTTGGAATAATAATTGATAGGTAAGGAATGAGAGACAGGTGGTACATGATATGAATTGCTGAACAGTTTTGGGAGAAAGAGTTTATTTTCAAATGACTCCAATAATACTGTTAATGATAACATAACAGGAAGGAGTTGATATTTATAAATGGGCAAACATAATTTCAAATTGGCACATTTGTCATTTAGAAGCAATCTTTGTATTAAAGTCCTTCAGTCTCGATCCCTAGAAGAAAATATTTTTAACAGTTCGTTGTGTATCTTTTTGGGAGTTTGTAATGAACATATAAGCACATTTAAGCATATTTTATATGTTTTGCATAAAGAAGTAAGGCAAGTTATACCATGAAAATCTTTTCATATCAGCTCATAGAACTTTTTTCTTTTTAGCAGTTTCAGAATATTGTGGGAAGTACATGAATATACCCAATTAGTCTTCTAATGATGGATATTCAGGTTGTTTACAAATTCCTATCTTTAATTTTTTACAAAGCATTCTGAAAAAATAAACTACTGTTCTTGTGACATTTTGTACAAATGCAAGTAGACATGAAATTCCCAGAAAACAGAATTGCTGGATTAAAAGTTATGCACATTTTATATTTTGATAGATGTTGCCACATTTCCATCCAAATGATAAATTCCTTGGGTAGAACTGCTGGGTTGAGTGGTCTATGTATTTCATTCAGAAATGTTGTACCAATTTAAATTACTGCCAGAATGGCAAACTAGATAATCTGAAAGTCCTTACCCAAGAGACACCTAAAATATTAAACAATATAAAATGAATATTTCATATGTAGAATTAGGCTCACAAAAAAGTAAGGCAAATCCCTGGGATTAAAAAATGATGAAGCAGCTGAAAAGCAATCAGAGAAGCAGACATTAAAAACACCGGTGTCATGGGGGCATTTAGGGTTCCAGATATCAAGATGCTTGCTGTTTAATAACCATAGGAAGATAAGATGTTGGGTCCAGCACCGTGGAGTGTGGAACCAAGACCCTCACATGCAACAAGAATCTGCAGGGCACATACCTGTCATGAAAAGATGAGCTAGAAAAAGATAACCAGCAAAAGGAGACAATTAAGTGTGACCTTAGTGATCTGGATTGGCCTAAGCATACAGTATGAAAAAAGTATTTTCCGAGAACTTATAACTACAGACCCTTCCCTCAAGGGGCTAGTAATTCCAAAATATACTGTCTTGGGGCATCTTGGGTGCTTAATAAAGATAAATGCAAATCTTTCCAGAGACTCATGTCTTCAATCCAGCCTGTATAAGATTCCTCTGGGTATATGTTTGATTGGACATAAACTTATAATTCAAAACTGTATATCATAAAGAAACAAATTTGATGCATAAATGTAAGCAGAAAAAAATAGCAGTATTAAACCTCCTGAATTTTCAGATAATCGAGTAATCAAATAAGGAAAATAAAGTGAATTTTACATTTTTAAAAATGTTTAAGGAAATGTTATCATAAGATATAACTAGTAATACACATATAAATAAGACATGACAGAGTTTAAAAAACAAAGTAGGACTTCCACAAATAAAAAATATGATGATCAAATTTTAGAATGCACTAGAAAAGTTAAAGAAACAGATTAGGCTCTGCTGTAAAAAAAGCAAACTGAGAAAAACTGAGGGAACCCAAATTACAGCATTAAGTTACAAGGACAGAAAATATGAATGACATGGAATATGTGAGCATGGATGACATTCTAGGTGTAGAAAAGGTAATGGGAGGAAGTGATAATATTTGAAGAGATAATTGGTAAGATTTTCCAGAATAGACAAAAGTTATGAAACTTTAACAAAATAAATCCCAAATTTCCTCATTGAATGTTAGCACACATAACATTTTAATGAAATTTAACTATATTTTCCAAAACAAAAAAGTTAGCAAAAAGAGTGATATTGTTTTATATTTTTGCAAATGTCCTTAATGTCTGACTTAACACAATACAGCTGGATTCTCATAGCTGCTTCTGCATTCAATCTGTTCCAATATTGCATGTCATGTAGCCTCTGGAAAAACTCCAACTTGCAAGAGAATGAGAATGAAAAAGACGAATTATGTCTCAGTTTTGTTGTAAATATAGTTTTGACTTTGTGAGACTCCTGAAAAAGTCTCCCATTTCCTCAAGGGTCTATAGACCACACTTTGAGAAATGCTGGTTAAGAGTAGATTTCCTATTATGGGTCATGGTTGGTAGAATGGGTGTTACAAACAAACATTCTACTTTCTCTTTCTCTGTATGTGTCTCCACGTATGTGTTATGTGAATCAGGATTTTTCAGGAAATCAGAATACAATAACATACCTTTAGATCTGAAACAAGATATGAGGGATTAATTTCATCTCTCTTTCAGGATGCAGAGAGTTCTTCAGGGTCCTGCAATGTCATCTCGGTGGTGAACATCAACAACATTTTGTTAGTATGTGCAGAAGTCTTGAGTCTTACTAGGTATTTTGTTCAATAAGAAGGTAGGTAACTACTTGTTACATTACTATGACAAAGAGGAATACGATTTCATAGTATGTAATCGTAAAACTGCCCTAGAAGTGAAAGACAAAATCATCTACCAGGAGACTGACACATTGAGTTTTGTTTTCTAGTTTGCTTTTAGAACCCACACTTTTCAGAATCATAAGGAAATTGATGTTAACAATTGATCCAGTTTCTTCTTACTCAGTTTCTGACTGAAGAGAATCAGAGAATATTTTAATTGCTGGGGAAAAGTATACAGCTTGAGTTAAATTTTACCATTAAACTTCCTTTAATTAATCTGCAGCTGATGTTTTTCATTCCCACTTTTATATCATTAAAGAGATGGCTCCCGTCTGAGTCTGTTAAGGGATTAGATTTCTTGTACTCGATTGATCTCACCCACATTGAGCAAATGTGACCCATATGTTTTTCCTATCTTATTTATCTCATTACATAAAAATCTCAGATGCAAGACATTATTTCAAGTAGTGCCCAGAAGGACAGTTGTAATAACCCATTAGATCGCAGGCATCTCAATTTCTACAAAAAAAGATTAACATTCCGTCTTAATAGTTACTGTGAATCCATAGGGTGAATCCATAGGGCTTAATCTCAGTTCCTTTCTGATGAAACACAGGTAATAGAAGATTAGCTGGCCAACATTCAACATGGGACACCCTGTGACATGCAAAATAGCATTGCAAAAAGGATATGATTCAAAAGGATGTTCCAGGAGGATCACACTTGTTACACAAACATGTGCTGATTTCCTCCTGGGTCCTGGGTAGCAAAGACAGATCAGAAAGAAAGCTTCCTCTCAGAGCCTGATAGAGGAAACAGATCTAGGATGAGACTTGTAATGAAGATATGTATGGGAATTTATGGCAAAGAGGAGTAAGGCATTTTGTATATGGAATCACAAAAGGCTTCCCTTTGAGCTGGTCTTGAGGAATAAGGGGAAATTTTCTAGGCAGTCAAGGAGGCTAAGGATGTTCTGGGCAGAAAAGAAACACATTTATGCTTGGCATGTTCAGACTGGCAAGTAATTCAGCTGGGCAAATCTGGAGTGAGGGGTGAAGAGGGAGCGCAGTTGAAGATGGTGTTGCAGAAATCAGTTCACCAAGGGTCTGCAACCCCTTTAGGAAACTCACACTTTAATTTATCACAAAGATCTCTGGTTTTTCAGTTATGCTCTAGAACACCAGAGAATTCACAGAGGTGCCGTGTATTATGCTCAATACTTAAATCATAGCCCAGACAAAGCTTGTTTCTCAGGGCAGAAAATATTCCTTTTGAAGAAGTTAGAAATTCACAGCTACAGGTGATGAGGAACCATGGTAAGGTGGCAAACAGGAGAGCGATATGATCAGATTTGCTTCTTAGTAATCTCACTCTGGTTGCAGTTTGGACCGCACTTAAGAGAACAGAGAGACTGGCTAGAAAACGAAAAGTACAAAATCAATAGGACTCGAGGTGCATTGAATGTGGAGGTGAAGACAAGTTGTCCTGGGGTAAATCCCAGGTTTCTGATTTAAATGAAGGTGTCTACCATGTAAGAGTTGGGGGATGGAAAACCTCTGGAGCTGTCAACATTTAGAAAAAGGAAGAGGCAGTGATGGAGGGCCTGGGGAGAGGGGAGGGGAAGAGAAAAAGAAAGCAGGCATGAGCAGGAAAGCCTTATACCCAAGTTCCAGGACGGCAGTCCTCAGTAGTGACCAGTGATTCAGAGAGACCATGTCAGCTAAACCAAGAAGTCTTCACTTAATTTGGCAAAAGGAGAGGCTGGAGTGACTTCAGCAGGATCAGTTTCAGTGGAAGCCAGATTGCAGTGGGCAGAGAAGTGAGTAAGAGGCGAGGAACTGGAGACGGTGAGAATAGAGATGCCTTTAGGAGCATGGCTGAGAGGCAGAAAGAGAGAGCAAACGCCACCCGAGAAAACGCCTGAGTGGGAGGCATGAGCTTATCAATATGCATAGGAGAGGAATCCAGGAGGACAGAGAGTTGAAGATAATTGCGTGTGTGTGTGTGTGTGTGTGTGTGTGTGTGTGTACACGCGCTTGCGCGCGCTCGCGCGCGCTCGCGCGTGCACTGAAAGAGGTCCCTGAAGAGGTGAGGCGAGGGGGAACCAGGCTCCAGCACAAGTCTCTACCAAGAAACCCTAAATGCATGAGAATTTAATGGGAATGTATTTAGCACCATATGTGTACATGCCTCTCTGCATATACAGCTATTCGGGATGTTTTGGAGGGACAAATTTATTGATAAAAGTTTGAAATTTATTTTATCAGGATACTGGAGGATTTGGGATATCAAGAAACTGTGGACTCTAAATCTTGTCTTATTTATTCATTTTCTCTACTTAGGACATTTGAAATTTCTGAAAAACAAAGCTACCTTTGAATCTGACACCCTAATTATCTGTTCTGGAGTGCTCAATAATACATACTTATATTTGGAGCCATCTGAAGTGACTTCCCTTTCTCAAAGGTCTGGATGTAGTGATGCGACCCTGTAATTTCAGTGACCAAACTTGGGATGCTGAGGCAGGAGGATCACAGGTCGGAGGCCAGCTGGGGCAGCTGAGCATGATGGTGTCTTGAAAGGAAAAATAAAAAGGGCTGGGGATATAGTTCAGTTGTAGAGTGGTAGAGCAGTAGAGTGCTCCTGAGTTCAATCCCCAGTACTGCCCAAAAAAAAAAAAAAAAAAAAAAAAAAAAAAAAAAACAACAACAACAAAAAACCAACCAAAGGAAAAAACTTCCCCCTTTAACCTTTTTTTTTCCCCCTCTTTATCTTTTTTGGCTCTAAGTTTTCATGAGTTCCAAAGTTCTAAGTTTTCCATGGATGTAAAAATGTACTTTACAGCATTCAACAGTGATTTTTTTTATTTGTCAACCAGGATTCAAGTTCTTAGATGAAACATGATTTTTCTGTTCCACAGCTGGATTTTATTAGAGATGCTAGTGACCCTCTGAGATGAACCAGATGTGTGGAGTTATTAGCCTTAGGAACAACTTTAAAAAAGAAATGGCATCATATTCTCAAAATATTTTTTTTTTGTTCTAGTCTGCCTTCAGGGCTGGTATTGAGGGGTGGGAATGAGAAGGTTTGACAAGTAACTGGAGATTGGAGGATTTTAAAAGCAGGTATTTATTCTAGCATTTGCAATACTTGCCAGTGTCCCACTACCCATTAGGTTCTCATTCTGTAGAAATAGAGTGATAACAGTATCCACAGGTGGTTCATAGGGGACATAGTACCTGTTAGCAATTAAGAAGAAGTTCAATTTAATGTCATAAAATGTTGTTGGCAGTTTGGCTTGTTAAAGTATGAAATGGTCCCTGGGGAGAGATTCACTTGGCACAAGCTCTCTGGCCACAGTATTTATTAGTGATTACGAGAGTCAGGCTAGGTCTTCCAGACAGGGACAATTGTGGTTCCTATAGCATTTTATAGGTTTTGACATTGATTTTGGGAAGGAGACATATAAATCTGACTCAATTTACCACAAGAAACATGTTTCTGGTTTACTCAATTCTCCAACTCTCTCTCCATCCCTGGGAACTTCTCCTGAAATGTATCATTGAAATTTCTGGTCTGTATTCACTGATTTTTATGGTGCTAGTAATTGTTGATTTAACTTCTGCTATTCTACCTTTCTTGTTACCTGTTTTGGTTTGTATCTTTCTACAAACATATAGAATATCTTTTCTATAAACAGTATCCAACTGCTAGATTGTCAAAAAAAAGTTGATAAGAGTAGGCTTTGCTACATACTGTGAAAGGAGCTAATCAAAGCAGCTTTTTAATTGCTATAGTAATGATTTAGATGTGCAAAAAAATACTCAAGTTAAATTTGCATGACTAATTAATTAAGCAAAGCTCACAATTGACAAACATAATTAGCACATCCAAAATTGAAACCACATCCTGGCCCTCTTAACTTGAAGCCAAAAAGACAATGTGAACTGCTCAAAACTCCCTTTTTTCCACTCTCTGTAGGTCTTGATGCCAATCCTTATATTTAAGTTTGTTATACATGCAACATAGTTAATTGCAAACATTCCTAAGTATCTTTTTTTTATAACAGAGAATTCTCATGAGTCTTGGCTTATTTGTTCAGTCTTTTAGCAGCTAAATTTCATCTAATAGAGTAGAAATCTCAAACAGAGGAAAGGAAATCTCTTTCTTTCTGTCTCTGTCTCTTATATGTTATCCCCTATATATCTTTCATATATTCATCTATGTTTCTATAAATTGTTGTAAGGTCAGTTTTTATGGTGCATAAATATTTTATGTGTGAAAGTGGTTTGATGTAGAGACATGTAAAACCATATAATGGCAGATCAGGTAACCATGGAGCTCTACAAGTAGAAACACGTGCAACTTTCTATGGCAAATCATTAAGATACTGAAGTAATTCAGAATCTCCTGGAGTCCTTGCTGATCCAAAGCCATTCTGGGACTAAGAAAGTAGGGAATATATCCTTCCTCCAACTCTCTTCTGCTCATCCACCTTGTGACACACTTTGTCACTTGTCTATCAAAGTAGAATTGTATTCAGAGTCACAAGGGGGGAAAGTCGATTCCCCTGTAGCCTAGTTATCCTTTCTCCTTTCATATAGCAAAGGGACTGGAACAAACCCCAGTGTCTAGATCAGGTACCTATTCTGCTCCTCATGGCAAGTTTTACTCCTTGAATGGAACTAAAACCAAGTTGTCCTTTGGAAGCAATCACAGCATGTGTGTGGCAAACCTCTCCAACATGCAAATTGACTCTTGATGCAAACTAAACTCTCAGGTTCCACCTACCAGTGCAACACAATTCATACATTCATTGAATGAGTGCTTATCAAGTGCTTGACACCCACAGGCCTTTGACATGTCTGATAACCAGACCTCTGCCACTTACAGAGTTATGCACCTCTGTGTAGGTATACATACAGATCATTCATGTATAAAATTTCAGTTCCTTTAAGTTTCCTTTTAGGGGTAG